TAAAAACGCTTTTTGCGAGGATCAGGATATGGAATTAGAAGGCTCTCCAATCGTGGAGACGTCTTCTTACGTATATCTCGGGCGTTCAATGAGCATGGAGAACGATCTGAAAGAGGAACTAAACAAAAGGCAAAGAGCTTGGGTCGTCTTCGAGCCCCTAAAGGAAGCCACAGTACAGCTGACAGACCCAAAGCTCCAAGCCCACCTCTTCGATTCAACTGTTCTCCCTGCGCTCTGCTACGCAGCAGAGACCTGGCCTGACACTGTGGCTACATCCAAGGTTCTTCGAACAACCCACAGAGCGCTGGAACGACGTCTTCTAAAGTACAACCGACGCACTCAGCATCTCGTCGGACTTCGCACTTTAGATATGAGATCAATGTCCCGTCTTCGCGATTCGGCGGAATACGTCTCTAAGGCAAATCATCGATGGGCTGGTCATATAATGAGATGGACAGACGACAGATGGACACTAAGAACTCAGCAATGGATTCCTCGCGAACGTCACCGCCCCACTTCAATACCAACATCATGGATGACGCTAGCGGAAGACAGAAACGGATGGAAACAGTGCGGTGGCCTGCACGATAAGTGAAGACAGGCCATCTAAGTGTCTAAGTAAGTAAGTAAGTATTATACCCACATCACGCAATAACTTCACTGCAAAATTAGGGTGGGCATATGATGGTAGCTGACTTACAAGAAAAGGAGAAATTGGATAATTCCAAAGTGCAAAATGGCTATACCATAGATCATTTAATTTTTGTAATTGGCATATTTATGACTCAGACTACTTTTTAGGAAAATCGCTGCATTTGGCCACACTACACCTATCTATTCGGTCATACCGTAAGAAATGAGTGTTACATTGGGCTCTGGTTCTTCAAAATCTAGAAAAATTAAGCTTCGATAGAGCTTTACTGGGAATACATTTTCAATCGCATCTAATATAACAGGCCCAAAATCTCTAGACAAATCAAGGAAGCTTTCTAGAGGGAGACTGCTATTTTTATATGTTAAACGTCTGCCAAACATCCGGGTTCTTAGAAAGTTTTTGACTAAAAGACACGAACTCATCCCGCAAACCGATATATATATATATATATATATATATATATATATATATATATATATATATATATATA